CCGACCTCTGTAGCTCATCCAGAATGCAGCGGCTCGTCTAGTCTTCAACCTTCCTACATTTTCCCACTGCACACCGCTCCTCCGCTCCCTTCACTGGCTTCCGGTAACTGCTAGAATCCACTTCAAGACACTGGTACTTGCGTACCATGCTGTGAATGGATCAGGCCCTTCCTACATCCAGGACATGGTTAAACCGTACACCCCAGCACGTGCACTCTGCTCTGCATCAGCCAAACAGCTCGCTGCACCCTCACTGCGATGGGGACCCAAGTTCCCATCAGCAAAAGCATGTCGGTTTACTATCCTGGCTCCAAAATGGTGGAATGAGCTCCCCATTGATATCAGGACAGCAGATAGCTTGCACATCTTCCAGCGCAGACTGAAAACTCATCTCTTTCGACTCCACTACGAGCAATACAATTACTAACAAATCACTTATATACTAATAAAGGGCTGGCTTATCTAAAGCTAGTTGAGTAGCACTTGAAATGGTTTGGCTCTATGAAACCTGATGTACTTATATGATTCTGTTTTCTTCAAGTTTGTATCTTCTTGATCGAATGCACTTACAGTATTGTAAGTCACTTTGGATAAAAGCGTCAGCTAAATGCAATGTAAAAAAAAAATGTTTAAAGTATTTATTTGATCATAGAAACCAAATCCTGCTGAATGGGAGGCCCTCATCTGTGACCGTTGATTTAAGACATTGTTTTAAAGAAACCTTATTATACAGTAGTTATGTTGGTTGAGCTCATGGTGAAACCACACAGGTTTGCAGCTCGATTAATAAAGTTTAATGAGTACACTGTCTTATGTACCAGGCACGTGTGATTTTCTAATTTTGGATATGGACAAATATTTATTTTGAGTTTTACTGATGTGCAATACTAGACTCCACATTCTACAGTGGAGTAATGTTGACGGTGTGTGTTTGTGTTCTGTGTTGGCCTGACCTACTGACAGTGAGTTGAGGCATGTCTAGGGAGTGTGGTGAGGTGTTGTTGCTGATGAAGGCTCATTATTAGTTCCTAAGATTATGTTCTGGTACTTTGTGTTTCATTTGTGTTACTCTGGTTGTGTGGATGAGGAATGTGTCACCTCAAGCAAATCAAATCCCTAAATCATGTTTTAAAACCCCTTGCAGAGCTGGTAACATTGTTGCCTTGTATATAGCACCTTAAATGACCCCTGTCATACAGTTAACTATGTCTTAACACTGCTGTATTAAATGAAAGCTTTAACAATATAAATATTCATTTAATAAGTGAAGGAACAAATAGATCTGTATGATCACCAAGCAACAACAGTTACCCAACCTCCTACCACTCTTATATATAGAATAACTTATCACCTTAACTCTGTGATAATCTTACTCAGAAATGATGTCGGATAACTAAATGGAAATGTCTCTCAATAACATATTTGAAAATGATCTAGCTTGATTCAAGAATACCTTTGATGGTTGACACATGGCGGTTATGTTATATAAAAAGCTTAACTCCATCAGAAGTTACCTTTTGCCAATGGTGAAAGCTTCTGCTGGGCGACAATTCACGTTTCATTTATAACATTTAGCAAGGTATCAGAATCTGAAATCTCTCTGATAGGTGAAAACCAGATATGAATTATAACAAATAAAATGGCTCCTGCTGTTGTTTCTCTGCTGCTTCTATTTGCTCTGCTGAATTTGCATCAGTCTCTCCAGTCTGGCCTCTGATATGAGGAAGGCTGTAGCCAAATGAAGAAGCATGCAGCACTCTGAGAGTAAACACACGGTCAGTTCTTATCAAACATGTTGTTGACACAACTCTCCTCCATCATGCTTTTAGCTTGCTTAGTAGCGAGGCTGGCTAGTAACTAAGCAACTAGTCCAATTTTTAAAAAGGGGCAACAGAGCCGGTACATGCAGTCTTCAGTGTGTGTTTGTATATATTTATATATACCTGTAAGTGTGCTTTACCTGCTTCCCCATTAGTAAATATACCGTCCTAATAAATACCACAGTTCAATTTAAGACGCCTACATGTCGGCTGCAGAAGTTGAGAGTTTGTAAGCTAAGATTTGTATAAGTTTTTGGTGCTCATGGGTGCACACTCCTTTCCTTACTAACGTTTGGTGTGTTCAAAGACGGATGGGAATTTTCCTCCCTGGCAGATTTGAGATTTGAATTGTACCTTTTGAAATAAGCCAATAGGAGATCAAGGCTTAGTGGAGAGAAAGTCTCATCTTTAAAGGATTAGCTAGACCTGTTCTGTCATTTTGCCCTTCCTAATTTGAGACAAAACTTGAAAACCTGCTTTGTACACACACCTTCACACACCTTCACACACCTCCACACACACACACACACACACGCACGCACGCACGCACGCGCACACACACACACTAGCACAAAAAAGTCAAAATAAAATGATACATAAACCAGGCTTAATTATGTCAGATTAAAGGGTTTAATGACGTGCTGTGTATGACCTGAACAGACAAAGATTCTCTGAGAAACTGCTCAAATGTGCCAGCAGTCTTTTAACACGACTGCCTGAGTTGGTGTCCAATGACGGATATTATGTTACTCTTGTCCGTTTGGTGGTGCACTCTGTTGCCTTCAGCATGAACTGAGGAGGAAGAAATGTGTGCAGGCTTTGTGTGAGGTCAAATTCCTCTGTCTTGGTTTACAGGGGACTACTGTGGAAACTGTTTGAGTAGAGTTTGGTCTAATCTCTTCCTTTTTTTGCAACATGGATTGTTACTACAGTAAAACATTAAGGGGATACAGTAATCAGAGAATTGTTACTGCCATCTAAGTATAGTGTAGTACAGTATTTTAATAGGAAATGCTTTATGTGAAAGCCACTGACTTACATTACTTTCTTTTTTAGGGACATACTACGAAGAGCCGCACTCTATCTGCTAAAACCTCCAAAGGACAACATTACAGCTCAAGTGGATGGGAACAGAATAACTTTGCCACCCTGTCCCCCAATGGGCTGAGATCCGCTCGCAGTGACCCGGCCTTGGCTCGAACATTGGGTGCTGCTCATACAGGCGGAACTGTTATGGTGATCAGTCATTATTATTTCAAAATGTAGTGATACTGAATTGCCATGTTTTTTTTCAGGGAATAGATTATTCAAACAAATATCAGAAATACTCCACAATACCATTCTTTATGAGCATTGTATATCACTCTTTTCTCAGAGAGCCAAAGGGCAGGCGGTCCAGAACAACATCATGCAGAATCGAGTCAATAGACAAAGCGCCTACTCTACGACCAGTAACCACCAGATGAACAGTAACCCCCAGACGACCAGTAACTACCAGACGACCAGTAACCACCAGATGAACAGTAACCCCCAGATGAACGGTAACTACCAGACGACCAGTAACCACCAGATGAACAGTAACTACCAGACAAACAGTAACCCCCAGATGAACAGTAACCACCAGATGACCAACAGCCAGACACACATCGTCCAGCAGCCCTCCATGCACTCTATGACTGACGGCAAGATGGGAACCATCAAAAGGTCCAACATAGAGCAGATATCAGCGTGAGTTCACCTGGCTTGCTTGAAAATTTCAGACAATAAGAGGGGGCTTGACATGGGCAACAAGTTTCTTGTACAGGGTGTTATATGGACTCGTTTACATTTTATCAGCATATGCATATAGTTTGTTGCAGGTCAGTTTCTCAATAAAGTTGATTTATTTTATTAAAGCAGGCCATTCATCATTTGTTGCTGGATTTGGCTGCAGACTTTGCCATGTGCCGTGTTTTTATGCTTGGATCCAATATAAATGCAGTCCATTTAAAAATTAAAAATATATACTGGGTTATAAAATGTGCCCAGGTTTCAAATTACAAAAGAGCAACAATCAGCTTATTTTTGTATCGAATTTCCAACTCTATGCCTATTTCTGCAGGGTGAACAGCTCGGTGAACATGTCAGATATGACCCTGAAGCAGGCAATTGAGTTCCTGTCTCAGTCAGATGAGAATTACCAGCAATGTGGAGCCACCTTCATTCAACACACCACCTACAAAGAGGAGAGCACCAAACAGGAGGTCAGTGACACACCCTGCATGTTTGCACACATGGAAGTTGTATATTCTCATATGACATCTGTGGGATGACGGGTCATGATGGTAATCCAACTGGTGCATGCTCTCTGTTTATACCTTTGTGTGACATTTTTGTGTCCCAGGTTTTCAAAATGGGAGGTATCCCGGCTCTTGTGACCCTGCTGCGGAGCGCCAACCCTGGGGTGAGCCAGGCTGCTGCTGGCGCTCTGAGGAACCTGGTGTTCAAAGACCAGGCCAACAAGCTGCAGGTTCAGCACTGTGGCGGGATCGCTAAGGCCCTGCAGCTACTGAAGGAGTCAGACTCTACTGAGACCCAGAAACAAATAGCTGGTAGGACTTTTTTTATTGGGACAGGAACTCAAGATATAAGAATGCCTCTGGTGCCTTTTTAATTCAAAAATAAATACATATAAACATGTCAAATATATATCTTAAATAAAGAGCCAGTTCTTGGTTTTCAATTATGGATATGATTTCTACACTTATTCAGTAGATAAGGAGGACATCATTCAAGTAATAAAAGTGATTGTAATACAGGTTTAACACAGCTTATGTCATATAACGCTTGTTAAACCACACACATAAAGGCTATGAAAAACCAATTGATCTTCCTCCTTTTCTGAAGCTCCTCCTAGAGCACCAGTGTGTTCTTTTTAACCAAATATCTCTCAGTGGTGCGTGGGGAGTGGCTCCTTATTTTCATCGAAAGTAACAGACCCAGAATCAGCACTTTTGAAACAGGGCTGAAACAGAGGGGTTTATTGGATGCTACAATGATCTGTTTGGTATTTGGAGCCAAACACTTGAGAGACATGTTTTGTATATATCTGAGACCTATAATATATTGATGAAAAACAGTATAATAAGGGACCTTTAATAGTGCATTCCTGTTTTATCTGAGTTACTTCTTCTTAAATCATCTTTTAGGATGTAATGACACATGTTTGCAGGAATCCATCACAGTTATTAGATAATGATGTTTTATCTGTATTCACTTTTTTTTTTTTTTCATTTTAAAAACGGTGCTGTTTGTGGAAATTCTGAATAGGCTTCTTAAATTAAACGAATAACTAAATCACTGATTTATGATAGCATACCTTTTAAAACAATAATATGGAACAAAAAAAATAAGAATTTAAAGTAATAATTACCTGTTTGCTGTCAACGAAAACAGAGAAGCAGCTAGCGTTGCTCTGTCAACAAAAGCAGCCTGCCCGCAGCTCTAAAGCTCTCAAATCAACATGTTTTAACCGGTTTGTTAAATCCATAGAAAAATCTGTTATGGTTTTTCGGTGAAAACATGCAGTAACAGTGCATGTGCTGTGAACACTCGGATACCAAAACACTTCGATATCCTGATCCAACTGTTAAAACCCCAGATAACAACAGAAAGTTTAAAGTATTTATTTAATCATAGAAACCAAATCCTGCTGAATGGGAGGCCCTCATCTGTGACCGTTGATTTAAGACATTGTTTTAAAGAAACCTTATTATACAGTAGTTATGTTGGTTGAGCTCATGGTGAAACCACACAGGTTTGCAGCTCGATTTAATAAAGTTGACTACACTGTCTTATGTACCAGGCACGTGTGATTTTCTAATTTTGGATATGGACAAATATTTGTTTTGAGTTTTACTGATGTGCAATACTAGACTCCACATTCTACAGTGGAGTAATGTTGGGTGTGTGTCAGATAAAATGCATGCTCTGTGTTTGCCTGGCCTGACCTACTGACAGTGAGTTGAGGCATGTCTAGGGAGTGTGGTGAGGTGTTGTTGCTGATGAAGATTAGGTTCTGGTACTTGGTGTTTCATTTGTGTTACTCTGGTTGTGTGGATGAGGAATGCGTCACCTCAAGCAAATCAAATCCCTAAATCACGTTTTAAAGCCCCTTGCAGAGCTGGTAACATTTGTGTCTTGTCTTGTATACAGCACCTTAAATGACCCCTGTCATACAGTAAACTATGTCTTAACACTGTTGTATTAAATGAAATCTTTAACAATATAAATATTCATTTAATAAGTGAAGGAACAAATAGATCTATATGATCACCAAGCAACAACAGTTACCCAACCTCCAAACCAATTGAGCTTCCTCCTTTTTGTACCATACACATTTTCAGGAGCAATACTTGTCCAGTACCACACCAAAGCCAAATCTTTTTCATAACTTTCTTTTAACAATGGTTCTTTGACCATCCACTTCAGAGAAAAACATTGATTTAAAAATAATAATGGCAGCAACATGATGCAGCTTAGTTGTAACTCCACCTGTCTTGCCGTTTTTAGGACTGCTCTGGAACCTGTCCTCTGCCGACGAGCTGAAGGAAGAGCTGATTGCTACAGCGCTGCCCGCCCTGACGGAGAACGTGGTGGAACCTTTCACCTGCTGGTCAGAAAAAAGCACCAACAACAATATCCACCCTGATGTCTTCTACAGCGCCACAGGGTGCCTGCGGTGAGAACACTTCATTCATCAGAGCCTCTGATGTTAGATTGTTATGCCTTCAGGGCAGAGATCAGGTAGTTCACAACAAGTATAGTGAAATAGAGCAACATTTTGATGTCACAAACATCGTTGTCAAGGCTTCACAAAGCCAATGGCTGATCAATTAGTTATGAAATGGTTTAAGTCATTTTTGAACAGAAGTGCCAAACTTTTTCAGTTTTTTTGTAGGAATGTTGGATATTGTGTGCTGATGTAATATTTTTGCATCTTTAGTTGAGGCACTCACAATTCTGTGTTGTTATTTTATTTGAGACGAGTAGGTGTTTCCTTTTGGATTTAAATGAATGATTGAAATGTGTTTAGGAACCTGAGCTCCGGCAGAAAGAAGGACAGAAAGGCAATGAGAGATTGCAGCGGCCTAATCAACTCCCTCATGAGTTACATCCAGTCCTGTGTGGCGGAGGACAACCCTGATGACAAGGTAAACTTTCTCATCTTTCTCATCTGTCGGTCAGCAGTCTCATTTGTACCCAGCACCTTCATCTTTTTCACATTGTCTCTCTAACACTTAATTATGGATGTGTGAGCACGCAAGACCAGTTTTGTTTTGATTCATGTCTGGTCCTGTATTCTAGTTCCCTCCTGTAGAACTACAAGTGTCAAAGTGATTTCAGTCTCATTACATAGCATATACTTAATCCGCACAATACAATAAAAGTACACATAAACACTGCAGGCGTGTGTATACATTTAGCTGATGCTCTGATAGGAATTTATTTTGGGTGTGAACGTGTTCTAATTATATGTGTGTAGCTCTCTGTTTACTTCTTGTAATGAAGCAGAGGGGGAATTTATCTTGTGTCAGCCTCAAGTTATTTCTTTTAGTTTCCTGGTTTCGGATGAGGACGGTTGCTGCGCTTTATGCGTGTGACTCACTTTAAATTCCCCTTGTAGTTGAAATGTTTTATAATTTATAAACAGTCTTGCATTGATGGTAATATTAATATATATATATACTGTATATACTGTACTGCACACATTTAATTGTATCTCTATATTGTCTTCATTTGAGTTGTTTACTTGTTCAAAATATTTTACTTTTCATCGAGCGTAATTAACTGAATTTACTGAAATAAAAAGAGAAACTGACATTTAGGACCTTGATCAATGTTTTCTTACTCGATTGGGAAATATCAATCACAAATAAAAAGACCTGAAACACGTTTCCATATCCACCATTTAGGCTCGACAAATGCTCTTAAAAGGAAACTCAGTGTATTCTGCCTGGGAATCTTTTATTCTTGTCATCAGTCATGTCATTCCAGTCACTTCCTTCATTATGGAGATCTAGAAAAGGCAGTGCTCTGTTTTATCTTCCATGTAGAAGTCATTTCAAATGCTTTTCTTTAAGTTTGACTGAGACTATATAGTTCCCTTGAGATCCAGATGTTAAATAATAAACCACAAATGGAGTCTTAGAAACTAATGCGAGTTCCTCATATTGTATTTGCTCCATGTTCTCTTTTAAACACTGTGGCAAATGACGTAAATAGATACTGCAGTTACATTGAAAAAGAACATCTGCTATGCAATGAACTTAATAATCTCCTCTCCTCTAGTCTGTGGAGAACTGTGCATGCATCCTCCATAACTTGAGCTACCAGCTGGAGGAAGAGTCCCCTGGGTGCTACAGCAAGTTCCAACCTGCGGGGAGGAAAAGCTCCACGGTTGGATGCTTCAGCCCCAAGAGCAGCAAGGCCCAAAAGGAGGTGGGCAACAACCTCCAAACCTACACTTCAGGAGTGTTGGTCAAATCATGACCAGCCTTTATTCCAGGCAGCCTTCTCATCTCCTTCTCTTCCTTTCTCCTCAGATTTCACTTGACGCGGTACGGGGGATGCCGGAGGAGAGCACCCCGACAGGTGTGAACTGGTTGTGCCACCCCAAAGCCATGCAGACCTATATGTCTCTGCTGGGCTCGTCCCAGAAAGATGGCACCCTGGAAGCCTGCTGCGGGGCCCTGCAGAACCTCACTGCCTTAAAGGGAGCGGTGAGGACAAAAACATCAATGATTAGGACTTCCATTTGTGTGTTGGGTTTTATCAGACATTCAGGATTATCTCAGATTAATTTGAACAAGGCTAAGAGCAAAAGGGACGGAGATGTGGAAGGAATAATGAGTATAACTCACAATAAGGACTGAAAGGGAAAGTGAAATGCATGCACATGTCAAATAATTACAAAGACAGCTGCATTTTGTATCACAAATTACTGATCTTTCTGCGTTGTTTGCTTCCCTTCCAGGGGTCCAGTTCCATGAGTCAGTTAATGGTTCAAAAGCTGGGGGCTCTCATGCACCTTCGACCCCTTTTAAAATCTTCCAACCCGGGCCTGCAGAAGACTGCCATGTCTCTGCTGGGTAACATGTCTCGGACCAGCAGTTTGCAGACCTCCATGGGTGAGGAAAAGTGTGACATGTTGATGTTTTTTCGCAGGCAGAAGATACATGAATGTTTATTGATTTGACTGTTTCCTTTGTCTTCTCTGCAGCAAAGCAGATCCTGCCTGACATCACCAGCCTCCTCTCCTCTAGCCCCAAAGAGATGGGAAACTCCGACGACACCATAACATCAGCTTGCAACACAGCACGCAATCTGATGTTTGCGGACAGTGAGGTCAGCAAGAAATTCGTCGATAATGATCTGGTGTCAGCCATGACCGAGCTCAGCAAGAACACGTGAGTTTTAATTGGTTCATAAATTCAGCTAAATTCAGCTTTCATAGCTGTGACAAACTTCAATGGAGCTGTTGTGTTTCATAGGTTTTACACAAATAACTTGTTTGCCTTAAACGGTTGTTTCAACCATATTTTAACCTTTTCACTAACCATTTATTCAGTATATTTGCCCATATTTTCACTTCTACACTGACTTTTATGCCTCCACCCTTATACAATGACAATGAACGGAACATTTTGAGTGTTGCTCAAAGCACTGAAAATACCAGGGCACACCTCTTTCCAGAGAAAGAAATGATGTTACTCTGCCAACAGTTTACCTGGAACTACTTTATAGCATATTCTGTGGATATGTAATATATTATGTTAAGATAAGATATGATGGAACTTTATTATCCAACAACAGGATCAGAATGAAAAACAGGATTCACACAAGGTAAACAATAATGATAAAATAGAATAAGAAATATAAATAATAATACAAAAATAAAGTGAAAAAGTAACTGTTGAAACAACATATCGCAGTAAAACGTTGAGCATTTGAATGGACATGGATTACGGGTTACAGGGTTTAGCCCTTGAAGGACTGTCCGAGGCACTTAGCGCTGTGCCGAGGAGGGACAGTGCACAGTAAACAATTATTTCCATGTTTGTTGGTGAGTTAAATATCAAGATATATTTGTTGTAGTACCATCTTGCTGTTGCTATTGCTGCTTACCAACAAAAGGTTATTTTAACACAAAAAAGCTGTCCACTGTCAAATTATTTCAGAAGATGTATGCCTGAAATGCCTTCCTTTGCTGCTTTTCCCTACTGATCTCTGCCTTTCTGTCCTAGGTCTTTCCCAAAAGGCAGCAGATCCGCTTCAATGTTGCTCTACACCTTATGGAGCGATAAGAATTTGCAAGGTGTCGTGAGAAAGGTAATTCAATAAGAACTGAAATGCATGTGTTACTGACATTCTATGGCAAACACAACACAAACCTTTTGTATCAGTGCATCAGGGTAAAGCTTAGCAGATGCTCACACTGCCTAACACAGGCAAAAGGGAGGGGCCAGTTGAAACTGGTGGGTTTTTGTTATTACTCCTCTGGCGCACACACACACTCACTCACTTTCCCTTCCTACCCGCCACACCCAAAAGCTCAGTGAACACAGAAACAGTTCACTCGGGAATCCCGGCCGACTAGTTTTGGATAATGGAAGAAAGATAAAAAAAGAGGCAGTGACATCAAGAATGTGCCGAGTGAAGGACGGACAGAACGCATTAAAGATATTTAGCAAGTCTGTCTATGACTTGAGCAAAAGTGCTTAAATGTAAACGGTAGCTTATACGTGCCGAAAATCAAGAAACATAAATAGTGACAAGAGAGGTTAAACACTACCATCATTAGCTCCCCTAAGTTACTGACATTGAACATTTTATTTGAAGTAGAGCAAGTACGTTTTTACTGATTTCTTCTGTATGTTTTGATCCACAGCTGGGGCTGGACAAATCAATGTTTGTCAATGACTACACCACTTCAGTGCACAAGTCCATGCAGCTCTCTGAGTGAGAGTGACAGAAGAGCAGAACAGCACCACAGAGCTCGAGAGGTTTGATTGCTTCGAAGTACTTGCACCTGCATGTATTCAGATTTAAAGGGTTTGTCGGCCGAAATGAGCTGAATTTGTGTCATGAGGTTTAAAATTCTCTGCTCCTCTTTTCCTGTATTTAGTGTGTGTGTGTGCTCGCAGATGAAATGCAGCATGTTTAGATGCTGTGTGGCCACACCCTTGTAACAAGGAAATTAAATTACATTAATCATGTAACAACCTTGTTGAAAGAGCCTTTCAATTAAGAGTCAATCATACTTTGTACACACAGCTTAAAGAAACAGTTTTTAATTTCCTGGATAATTGGTGTGTTGCGTATTTAATTTGCATATATTTCTGTCTGTGTAAATAAAGGGTGAGTGTGTGATTGGTAGGTGAAGAGTGCATGGCTGCAGAAACCCAGTTCCTCTGGCTGAGGGCTGCAGTACACCAGACAATGTTATCTGCAGTGAGAGTTTCTAAAGCCATGCAGAGATTAGCTGGATTCATGAATGCCATTGTTGTCCGTCTGTAGTTAAAATGTTCTTATCCTTATCTTTTGCTGACTCAAGGACTGAGCAGCCGAAAAATAGAAAGTAATAAGAAGAATATACGAAAAGCTGAATTGAAAAATACTTTCTGTATTTGGATACTGTTGCACCCCCAAATCAAATCTTGTACATTCAACTTAATGTTTTTGTTAAATTGTTTCTGTTTCATTATTTTTTTTAACAAAAACAAAATGGAAACAGCTTTCAACTAAAGTGCCTGAAAAATGTAAGGAATAGTTTCCTTTTTTTTAGAAATGTTCTTCTCACCAAGAGTCAATAATAAGATCGATTCCTCTCTCATGTTTGTGATTTGAATATAAAGCTGCAACCAGAAGCCATTCAGCTTAGCTTGGCACAATAGCTATCCGATTCCTTGAACTGGCTATCCTGCCTCTGTCCAAAAGTAACAACATTTCACACAAGCAACTCTAAACTTCACACATCGACATGTTGCATCTTGTTTGTTTAATCTCTCGGGGTTTATGAGCCCTGTAAATCTACAATCTGTGTTTTTACGAACAAGATATAAAGAGTTGTGGAAATATGTTACCTTTGCGCTAAGTTAACAGCCTCTGTGCTAATCTAAGTTAGCAGCCGCTCCTGGGACTAGCTTCATATTTATTTCAAAGATTTGAGAGGGGTACCAATCATATCATCTAAATCTTAACGAGAAAGCATATCAATATAATTATGAACTCATAAATCTCAAAAATATCTATTACTTTACATTGCAGTACTAAATCTAAACACCTAGTTCTTTTGCTTTGTCATTAGTTTTGTTGTTGTTTGTTTTTCTTGTTTAAAGTGAGCAATTGGAGTTCTCTAGCTTCTATAGTCTTAGTTATGTTCATGAATAACATACAAGGAATTTATTTTTAAGATATAACATATTACATTTTTTTAACAAATACTAAGTATTATAAATCTGTTAGTTTAGAATGATATATATGAACTATTATAGATGTAAACATTTAAATAGTATTTGTTAAAGTATGAAGCCTTCTGTTATAACATATTTTGTATATGATGATAATGATAACACATGAATCTGTAACTGTTCATGGAGTGCCACAGACCCAACATGTAACCCCATCATTATTCCCACTCAGTTATCCCCCTGAAAACCCTTTGGAGTCGAGTTGAATAATTATCAACAGATGGCATAGCTCGACACATTAAGAGTCTTTAAAGTGCGATTCAACAGAAGTCTCTAGGGAGATAATAACGTAGGTCTAATGAATAATGATCTGTCTACGCCCCCTCAGACAGGAGAAGTTGCACAAAACATATTTAAATTATTATTTAAAAAAACATTCATCTTCATCTAAAACTGTCCTATGTAAGGTTTGCTACTTTGGCTAAACACTCTTAAAGGATTATTCCTCTTCTCATAACCCAAATACAAAAGACAGAATATTTCTTTCCTGGAAACTGATTTTAAATCCTATTAACAGACCCAGCTCAACAAATGTCTGAAGCAAAGATAATGGATAACTCTTTGGGGATTCCCAATGACTCCAACAACATACTGCAGTGAACTGTTTTTGTGCTTTTAGTTGTAAAGTCCTGCTGAGGTTCCTTTGCCTCTGGGAAGATTGATGTCAGTATTGCTTAGAATGTGTTTTGTAATAAGTAAGAAATGTGTGTGTGGCTTATAATTCGGAGCTTCTCCTGTCGCTCAGTCTGTACAGAGAATAAATTCCACATATGAAAAACAACATTGTAAGTTGTGTTTTTTTTTCTTCAACAACCAAATTCAAGTAATTGAATATGCTAACAAAAGGTTCGTATTATGTGCAGCCAATGTGAGCACTTTTGGAATAATCCTCATTCTCTATTTTTTCTTAAAGGTATATAAGAGGGTATCTAAATGTATTCATCCCGAGGGACATTTCTTTGCAGCGGTTATGAATTATAACTCTTGAACTGATTAAGCTTCCAGTTCTTGTTGCAGCAGGGTTAGTGTGGTCTGTGTGTGCATGCCGTTCTCTGACTAAGAGGAGAACTATGATAACAAAAGTAGAAGCTTTTCGGACGAATTTTTCGGCTGTAGCCTTTTCCCACAATATGTCTTTTCTCAGATACTACACCAGACAGTTTGTTTTTTTAACGACAGGATAAGTGAAGTATCCTTCAGGCAACCAAACGAAAAGATGACTGATGATATTTTTCTATTTATCTGTTCAATCACTGTCAGCTGTGTCGGTTATGTTTAAATTACCCCCCAGTGCTCAGCTGACAGGTAATAAAAAAGAATGAAAGAAAAAAAAAGTAGATGCCTTTTGCTTGCACTCAAAGGGGTTGCAAATGCTTTAGTTTTTTTCATATAAATCAGTTTGGAATATTCTGTATTTAATATGATTTATATTACATGACTTGTTAGACGCTTTTATCCTAAGCGACTTACATACTCAATACTGTGGGCAATCCCTACAGGAGCAATTTTGGGTGAAGTGTCTTGCCCAGGGACACAACGACATGCTGACTGCAGTTGGGTTTGAACCTGCAGTGGCGCCAAACATCTTCCTTGTATTAGAATATAGTTCTTACATTGACACTCCTGACTGTAGATCTCAAACAATAGAGATCATCCTAAAGACACAGCAACTCCACCTGTCGACCACAGCAACTAGGTTTAATTAATTGACATTAAAACTCAACCAACAAATTCATAAATATAATTACTTACGCTTTTTATACATGATATTTATACATATTTGGTGCTACATCAGATCCACCTGATGAAGATCAGTTATAAAGCAGTTGAAGGAGGAATATCATTTTTCATATGACGGGTTTTCCCACTGTGATTAAAGCTGAATGAAACATGATTCATTCTATTCCAGCTTTGTGTGTGAATGTGTGTGTTGGGTGGAGGTCTGGGCGTTAGCCGGAGGAGCGTCATGTCAGAGCCTGTCTTTGAGTAGGAAGGTGTTTCTCGTTGTTTTTGCTCTAGGCTTTCTGCATTCACGTCTTGAATACATGTTTTTTTTAGACTTCAGAGTTCCAGGACACTCCTGCACCTGAGCTACAAAAGTCTGAAAGACAAGAAAGCTGTTGATTGAAATAAGAATTTATTTACACCCTTGAACACAAGGGATTCAATGGATGGTGTAGGAGCCATTTTATGGGTATAGTTGGCGTGTCACAACGAAATTGCCATTACAAATGGTAATAGGAGGAAAACCACGGGGGATGGAAAATGGATATAATGAGTGTTGTAGGTGATGGTATTGTGGAACCAGGTGGTACTATAGGTGTGCCAGGAAAGCCAGGGCTTGGTTTGAAGCAGTGGCTGCTGGGCGAGACTGATAGTTAGGGCCCACACTGCTCACTCAGCATGTCTGTAGTTATTTCCTCAGGCCTCTTTTGGTCCTCTTGGATCTGTTGAAAACAAGGAACGGTCACAGGGGATAAAGTCAAACATGTTTGCCCACAAAAATCGTTGAGAGTGGACAATTACACAAGCTAACATTATAAGGTTGCAAAATCCTCTATAATTCGAAAAATAAGCAGTCAGCAAATTATGTGACAGGAGTGTCATCTGAACGGCCTACCACACCCAGCCATACAGCCAGCTCGCCCAGTTTGAGTGAGTAACATGGCCTCTGGGGGCCCCTGAGAGCTGGGCGGAGGCTGGGAGGGGAAAGGGTGGTGCTTCAAAATACCATCTTATTTAGTGATAAACAGCTGCTACATAGCCAACTTAAACAAAAGAGTGTTGCATTCTGTGATCAGTGGGTCAAATTATAGCTTAACTTTGACAACTGCTATGCCTTTGTTATTTTGTTCTGCAGCATGACCTTAGGCCCCCCGCCTCTCTTCTTGGAACTTTTATTTAAATATATAATAACATCATTACTTCTCCCCTGTCTATTGTGGCTGCCTTTTGATCCCAATGCAACTTGTGGCCCTTTGTAACATCTATAAACACTTTTGAATTCAGTAAGAAGTACAAACTACTTATTTTCTGGCCATAATTCTAACCTGGAAGGGGAACCCCACCTATTTTAAATACAAAATGTAGATTATTTGGAAATAATACTCAAGGACAGACATTTTTAGGGAGGTTTTTGCTCCGGTTTAAACTGAGCAAGCATCCATCAGTGTCGTATATCTCTGTGAAAAGTGTTAAAGTGAAATAAAAAAATCAGGTTCATTCTCACGTTTTCTGATGGTCGCTGACGCGGTTTCTCAGCACATTAATCTGCAGCAAAGAACATGAAAATGTTACTCAGAGGATGTCTATTATATCACGTGCCTGACTTCAACAATGTGTGTAGTGTTCTGTTGTACACACCTCATATTTCTGACTAGTTAACTGGTACTGCAGTTCAAACTTCTCAGCCTCCAGCTCGTTCATCCACTCCCACAGCGCTTGAGCTTTCGCCCTGGGACACACAGATCGAAAAATATTACAGTATGATTGTTAAGAGATCATTTTTCTTGTGAAATAATCTCCCTACTTCGTGTTAATTGAGACAATATGTTTCCACCTACTTGAGTCCGTCCTGGCTCATGTGCTCGATGTCCAGACCTTTGCGTCTGTCGCTCAGGATCTTCTTCTTCTTCTCTCTCTCAGTCTGCCTCTTACCACTCCGCTTTTCTGTCTGTGGGGAAGTGAAATACAATTTGATTCTGGAGTAATATCCTTCACATGTTAACTAGTTTCACCTCCTATAGTTAGTAACCCTCTGACTGCTCACCAACTTCTGCATGTAACCTCCAAAATGGAGGCTGGTGAGTGTTTTCTTCTTTTTAGCATCATCATCTGCTCTCTTCTTGGCCTCCTCATCCTCCTTACGAGTTCTCTCGTCCTAAAGCAAACAGACAAAATGAGCACCAGGTTTGAAATGTTAGGAGGTGGTTCATTGAGTGCATTCAGGAAGTATTACATTGCTGCAGTTTGAAAATGACTTTACCTCGAGACGCTTCTGTCGTTCTTTTTCTCTCTCACTGCGAATTCTATGCTGCTCAGCGCGCTCAGAGCGACGCTTCTCCTGCACAACAGATCAGCATCTTAGCATATCTTAAAGCCGACTTAAATGTCCTCTGTGTGAATACCTTTAAATATGTTTTATATCTCTTAACACTCTTACAATCCTATCCGTGAGATGAATGAGCTCCTCTTCTTCCTTCTTTCTGCTCTCAAAGTGAACCACAATCAAAGTCTGAAGCTCCATCAGGTCTTTCTCCATCCTTTTACGATGTATATCCTACAGAAAAAGCGGGTTAGTGCTTCTTGTGCTTAATGGTATGTGTCTTTGTTCATTGGTTTGCATCATTAAACAGAAATCCATCACTCACGTCAAAATCCACCTTCTCTCCATCTGGGATCTTAGGAGGGATGAGGTTGGGCATGATAAATGGCCTGCAGAATTAAAAAAGAAGAAAAACAAACATGCGAGGACAGTAAGTGAAGAACAAAGAAGGAAAGAAGGGACAAAATGTGAAGAAAAATGAAACTGAAATATATCATCTGTCGCTGTCATCGTGCATGTCAAATGAGAATAAATTGCTCTAAATCAAACATGCCCAAAAAATGTCCCTTTTGATTAATGCGTGTCTATTCATGCTGAAAATGTATGAAGTTGGTAAATCACATCAATATGTTTTTCCGATCGCGAGTGTGGTGCGGGTAGATCGCGGACCGTTAAAAAAAAAAGTAACAAAAGAAAGAAAAATAAAATAAAAATAATAATGTTTGAAAAATACGTTTTTAGATGTAAACCTATCATCCACCACCCCGTTAGCAGGTGCCACTTGATTGACGTATATTTGAGACACCTCAGTAATATAATACATTAACCGTGCTTTACGTGAACCTCATCATGACACAAGAGAGGACGATAGGACTGCAATTTCCCGTGTTCAGTGAATGCAACAGAGGCAAGACACCAGACCAATCGGAGAGTTGCATGGAAATAAACGTGTGCTTGTGTCATTCAAGCTCGGCTCTGTGTGCGTGTGGCGATAGCGCATTTAGTGTAGTGATGGGATTTATGGCTCTTTGAAGGGAGCCGGATCTTATGGCTCCGTTCCTTTCAAAGAGCCGTTCAAAAGAGTCGTTTTTGAACGACTCTTTTGAACGGCTCTTTGAAAGGAACGGAGCCATAAGATCCGGCTCCCTTCAAAGAGCCATAAATCCCATCACTACACTAAATGCGCTATCGCNTTTTTGTAGCGTTAGCGCTATTTCTTCTTCAACACTGTCTTCTTCTTCTACTCTTTGTCTTCTACTTCTACTTCTTCTTCTTCTACTCTCTACTTCTCTTCTTCTACTCTTCTTCTTCTTTTACCCTAACTTGCTCTACTTCTACTTCTTTTACCTCAAACTTCTCTCGTTCTCTTCTTCTTCTACCTCTACTTCTTCTCCTTCTTCTTCTTTGTTCTAACTTCGTAATTCAATGTACGCTTCCCGCAATATTGGATCAAAAAGAACTTGCCCTGGTAGTGTCAACTAAATCCATAGGGTTTTAGAACCAAAAGTGCCTTTAAACGGAGGGGGTAAATTACGAATGTATGGTTCTTCAGATCGCGTATGGGATTGAGTATGAAATGATTTGAATTAGATGTATTGTCCCCAGGGGCAATTCTTTTCTACAGCACTGTGAAAACAAGATATGAAAATCAACAAAAAATAAGACAGAACGACTACAGATAGCCACACAACAATAGATGGTTACCTGTTATATTCTAGGCTGCCTGTATGGATCAG